ACCCAGACCATTCTATGATTCTATGATTCAGGTCAGAGAAAACATGATGCTTTGCCAACCACCCTGTTTGGGCAGAATTATGACTTTTGCTGACTTTTGATCAAGTGTGCAGTGGGAATGGGAGCTCCACACACAGTCTGGGGAGAGGGGACCACGTCCACCCCTCACAACATACCCCAGCAGCAATTCTGAGACACAAGGGCTGAGAAGGAGCCAGTAACAGAGCTGGCTTTCCTCCTGCTGTGTTTGGACTGAGTGAAAACCCTGCGGTGACAACACTCTGCTGTTACAATGGCACCGAACGCCAGCCGGGGGTTCCAGATTGAGTCAGTTCTGGCTCATCAGTCGGGCTCCCTGCTCCCAAAGCCATATTCACGCAGATGTTTGAGCACCACGTGGCAGGAGGATCACTGACGCCAGGGTTTTGGCTCTCGGGCCAATTTGTGCCTGGACGCTCAGCAACAGCTCTGCAGGAGGCTTGTTCACAGCTTCAGCTGTTTGCCCCCTGCACACTCATGTCCCTGCAGGAGCTGCCTCTTCCGCAAAGCCAGCGGATGCCTGGGTGTCACTGACACTGAAGGGACAGCCATGTTCTTTAAGGGATCCTTGGCAGAATGATAATGTCACTAAATCATGGTTACAATTAAAGCTTTATTTCCTTAACAAGATATTATGATTGGTATAGCATAGAATTTCTGATGGGAACGGCACAGGATTTCTCCAAGCAGAATCAATGCAGTACAATCTATAAGTAGTGTAACACAGAATTCATAATACAACTTAGCTTATTATTTCTAATCACCTAGACACTAATGGAACTTATGATTTCTAATCACCTAAATAAGACAAAATTTATAATACAACTTAGAATTTCTAATCACCTGGACCCTCTGCAGATTGGGTCAAATCTTAATACATGGTTTGATTTATCAAGATAACAATCATAATCTAGACTCAAAAATCATAATAAAAGAAGATGAGTCACTTGCTCCATCCTTGGAGGAAGCAGAGGGTGATGGGCATGTCCCTGCCCACAGAAGGTCATGGGTCTCACTGTCCAGCAATTCACCACTTAGGACTTGTAACTGCTTGATTTTATGGACAGTGTTCTGTGCTGTTACACTTCCCTGTTCTGTGGTGGGGTCAACAACACCTGGCTGGCCCTGGGGCCTTCAAGGCCATCAAGGAAGGGAGTACTCAGCCTGGTGCCCAGGAACCTTGAGGCTGGCAAGGAGGGGAAGAAGAAATCTGTTTTGTTTGTCAGCTTGGTTCACAGGACCTTCAGTGCCTGAAAATGAGGGAAAGGGAATGAATATGTGACCCGCTTGGTACCAGAGGATGGCTGCTTGCCTCATAAAAAGGTGTTATGTTATGCTCATTATCAGGGGTCAGGAGCAGAGGGTACTGGTCACACTGGGTTGAGTTGGGTGGTGGCATCACTAGCAGGAGCAGTGGTAGAGACCCATGCAGAGACAGGGTGACAGTTGTTGTCACCCGGAGAAGTGAGAAATAAGAAACTAAAAAAACCCTGGGTGCACAATCTGGAAATAAATTGTTATGGGGAGGTGGAGAAAAGCACCTTGAATTTGAGAGTGTCCTGTTGTTTTTCTCCTTTCCTACTTCTTAAGGAGTTAGGATTCATGGCACTTTTGTAGGCAAGTAAATCTCATCAAAGATGACTGACACCATTATAAATTTCTTCTGTCAGCCCCAAGAGGTCCCAAATTTTTGGCTTATTTGAAGCAACTTCCCTGTTTTGCAAAGCATAACCTGAAGAAGCAGGAGAGACAGTGTGCAAAGGAGCTCCAAGGGCAGGAGGTCTTTTCAGACCTACCGGTGTGGCCCTGGCTGGTTGAGGGGTTCTTCCTTGTTCAATTTCCTTGTTCAATTCAATCAAACAGATTCTCAGAAACTTGTGTGAAAAGTTGCATTTTTCCCTGACCTTTTCTTGGGGAATCATCATTCAGCTGCTCACAGGCTCTAACAAGAGGTGTAAGAGAGCTGAAAGGCCACTCAGTGTGAGGAAGGATATGGGAGAGGGGAGAAGGAAGGAGGATGTCGTGTGGGACATGCCCTTTGAGTCTCAGTTCTTGCAGATGCTCTGCTGTCTCCCGTGCTCTCACTTCTGCCATGTCTGTTTTCCAGACCTCCTTCTCCTCCTGACAAAAGTCTCAGGCCAGGCATGGGAGTGCTGGAGGGAGCCAACAGCACCCTCACTGTGGAGAAGACAGCATTAGATGAGAAGCTGCCACAGGGCTGGCATGTCAAGGACCTTGTCACTCCTAGCCAGGATCTCTCTGGGTCCCACAATGTTATGATGGACAGCACCAAGATCCTGGAGGTCCAGGTCATCCTGATTGCTGCCTACTCCCTCATCATTCTGCTGGGGTTCATTGGCAACTCCTTGGTCATCTACATCATAGTGAAGTACAAGACCATGAGGACCGTCACCAACTTCTTCATAGCTAACCTGGCCCTGGCAGATCTGATGGTGGACACGCTCTGTCTGCCTTTCACCCTGGTGTATACACTGCTGGATGAGTGGAAGTTTGGAGCTGTTCTTTGTCATCTGGTCCCTTATGCTCAAGCTCTGAGTGTCCACGTGTCCACTCTCACCCTAACTGTGATTGCCCTGGACAGGTACCGGTGTATTGTTTTCCACCTGGACAGCAGGATTTCCAAGAGGCTCAGCTTCACCATCATAGCTATCATGTGGGTAGCAGCAGCTGTCCTAGCAGGTCCTTTGGCCATCTTCAGAGAGTATCGGTATGAGGAAATCCCATCCATCAACCTCAAAATGGCTGTCTGCTCAGAAAAATGGCCTTCTGGTAACAACAGAGATGCCACCATCTACAGCCTGTCCATGCTCCTCCTGCAGTATGTTTTTCCTCTTGTAATTATTTGTTATGCCTATACTAGGATCTGGTTCAAGCTGAAAAACCATGTCAGTCCCACTTCTAGGAATGAAAACGAGTGTCGGAGGAAGAAGACAACCAAAATGCTAGTGATGGTGGTTGTCGTATTCGCAGTCTGTTGGCTCCCCTTCCACATATTTCAGCTTGCCATTGATCTTGATCTGGTTCTTATCTTCCATGAATACAAACTCCTGTACACTGTCTTCCATGTTGGGGCCATGTGCTCTACATTTGTCAACCCCTTGCTCTACGGATGGATGAACAAGAACTACCGGAACGGCTTCCTTATGTTCTTCCGTTGCCAGAACAAGCCAGAAAGCATCCACACTGAAGGCTCAATTAGAGGGAGGTCGTACAGGGCAAACACCCTAAATGGGAGCATCAAACAGACTCCTGGCAATGGACCACTGCCCACAGAGGTTTAGGGATGGGACATGCACCTCTAGGACTGAGGCAGACCGAGCCCAGAGACATTCTTGGGTGAATGCCTTTTTTTCGCGGAACATTGTGTTGCCAGAACATCATAGTTACCGCAGCCACGTGGAAATACCCCCCTGTGTCTCTCAAAACAATAAATCTGGTGTATTTCTGTCTGACCAAACAAACGGATTTTTCCTTTCTCTGTGTTCAAGTTTCGCATGCAGAAGCATGAAAAATCACACACAGAGGAGGCTTTCATTTAGCCAGCAAAACACGCCCTTTTTGCTAGTTCCATTTGCCAAAGTGGGCTGCTCAACCTTTTACCTCCTGACATATTGCACATTACAAATGCAGAACCTTTCTTTTGTATGCTTGTTCATCTGTACTTCTCCTACCCAAAAGCCTTAATGATCCATCTTTAGCTAATGCCTCCAAGGGGAGGGAGAACTACACTCTTCTGCAAGCACAGGCTGGTCGGTGCCATCACTCCTCCGCAGGTCTGGGAAGGGAGCGGGCTGGTGCAGGTTGAAGCTGGGCAATCCTGGGAAATCCACAGGGTTTACATGAACCTGCATTTGCAACTCATGGGATGAGCTCTCATCCTCAGAAAGTCCAGGAGGTGGCAGTGGCACTACTTACCACAGTTTCCTTTACAAGTGCCAAAGCGAGGCTTTGGGGACACCTCGTTAGCCAGGGAGATTGTGAGCCAGTGCCCTGGGTTTAGTGATGAGAGCAGGCAGAGAAGCAGATAGGAAAGAGCTGGAACAGCTGGTCAAGAGGACTGAAACTGAACCTAGGGGACTGGCAGACCCTCCAGACCCTAAGATGTGTCTTCTGCCATGCAATAACTTGATGGGTGCCAACATGACCAGAAAGGCAAAACTCCCAATGAGACCATTCTCTAAGGTGATCAGAGGGTTTTAAAGCTGTTGTCTTTCTGAGCTTGGAGGTAACACGGGTCTGTACATGAGTGCTTCAGTTCAGAAGACAGAAGTAACTCGCTTGCATGGTTGGCACAGATGTGGTGTCCTCTGGCAGAAGAAGACATGGAGACAAAGGAAGATGTATTCTTTCAAACCAAACTATATGTTCTCCTCCCTAAGGCTGTGTCAGCTGGGGAGCATATTTTTAGCTCTGCCATCAAAGGAGGCTTGATTGCTACTGTGATCTCAGCAGCTCATCATTGGTGTCATCTCTAAAAGTCAGTGTTCATCAGATTGGAAAGTAACTCCCAGATGCAGGAGACTCAACAGACCTCCTCGTTAAAGATGAAAAGAAATAGAAACTTTGATTTGTAGGTCTTCACTGGAGCAAGGACAAGAGGTAAGAGGACTTGCAGCACTGAGTATGCCAGCCTGGATCAGGCTGCTGGTCTGTCACATCTGGAGTCCTCAAGAGATGAATTATCAAAGGCCTTATTTGAAAATCTAGCTCTCCTGCCTCCTCCCCAGCTTCACCTGCCTCTGGCCCTTGTTCTCCAGCTCAGCTTTTGACTGCCACACTAGATTTTAATCTGTTTATTTCTGTTCTCTGATGCCCTGCCTCATTTTCCTAAAAAGGAACAAGAAAGTGGTCTCTTGTTCCTTCCTGAGAGACACCATTGTCGGGCAAGGGCCACAGACCACACTTCACAGCTGGGGGCATGGTCATGCTGATGCCCACCAACCTCCCCAGCACCTGATTCTGCAGATGACAGCACACTCCATTTCAGGGAGCTTCAGGATCGATGCAGATCCTGTCAGGAAGTCATTGACATTCCAGTGTAAGGGTCACCTGCTTCCTGACAGGCCAAGACATGATGGGAGAACTAAGACACAGGTAAAACTTCCCCATGTGAAGTGCCACGGTGTGATGGTGGGAGTTTGCCATTTCATCCTGATAGAAGAAGGATATTCTCCTCCAAAGCATTGGTAAATTCTGTCCCTCCCTAATGAACTGGTCATTTCTACAATCCATCCTCCTGAGGAACTCTCCCCATGTTTCCATCAAACTCCAAGATACAAGGAACTGTTTATGTTTCAAAAGCAGCTTAAATGAGTGGAAAGAATTCAACTACTACCAATAAACACTTCAGAAAGTGATTTAACACTCAATAATACATGTCAGGGTAAAATAACACATTCAGCAATGCAAGCTTGGAAGCCAATCATGCTGCCAGCTGAGATAGATGAGGAGCTAAATTGCTCTTCTAGTGGCCTTGCCAAAGGTTTTGTCCTGTGACACCACACGTGGTATCTGACTGCGGAGCAAGGCAGATAATGACATTATGAACGACTGTTTAATTTTGAGCCCAGACTTTCAAACTAAATATGGATAAATAAATAAATAGGTCCTAGACCTTCACAAATGAATACTGGCAATGGCATTTACAGGGCAGAGGGATTTTTATGCTGGAGAAAACTGAGAAGGAGAAACTATTTACTTGAAGTGTAGCAGTAAAGTTCTGTTTGGTTTATTTAATACACTTGTGCAGCTTTACTGATGGATATCTGCCTGTGAACTTGCTGCTTTTTCCTTCCCATTGGAAAAAGTTCCAACCTTCCACATCCACTGCAAGATCTCAGTTGTGTATAGATGTCCCTCTGGAAAACCATGATGCCTCTGTTGAGGGAAAGTGGCCCTAGTGTCCACTGCCAACAGAACAAGGCAAGTTTGAGAACAAGGAAGCAAAGCTTCTTACCAAAGGTTGATTTGGGCAAATAAATGGGATGTTATAGACTGTCATGACTGAATAGAAGACAGGAATGAATTTGCTACCATTAAACACAAATCTGTTGGAGATGAAGGTTCCCCAAATATTAATACTCCAGTAAAGATGGCCTCACTGTCGTGATCGGCTCAATGAAACCAGAGACCAGAAGCATTTAAAGTTTTTGAACTATTTAGAGCTCAGGACAGGGTATGACCCTGCTCTGTTGGTGTCAAGGACAGATCCTCTAGCAGTTACAGATATTCTTGGAGCCAAAGGCATCTTCCCACTGCCTGCTCCTTGACAAAGGTGCATCAGTGAATGTCCACCAAGCCAGGCTCCTCTCCAAAGAGCTGGCCCTGGTGTTACTGACGTGGGATGAAATGACTCATGTCAACGGTGCAACAGGCTGATAGGGATAAGGGATTTCATTACAGAGTTAGAAGCACAGTGGCAGAAATGAAAATGAACAAGTATTTCATCAAAACTTGTCTGGAACACAGTGTTGTTCCTGGTGACCAAACAAATTTCCTCTAGGGCTCCTCCTGACTCTTGCTGACATCCTTCTCAAAATGCTGCTTCACTGAACTGACCTGGGGATATTTCACAGCTTTTAGGAGACAGGTTCTGAATTCTCTGAGAAAAACCCTATTTCTCATGCTAGCACTTTCCTTCTGGTCACATCATACAAATCTGGTATTATTAAAAGTAGCACTGAACAGTTCTTAATTGCCAAGCAACCCCTGGCAGATGATTAACTTTGAAAAGACACCACAGGTGGGGATGCCTCTAACTATCCTGTGCAACCATTACTCACATGCCAGACAAACACAAGAACAGCTGAGACGTGGCAACACCATCATTTAAAAACAGCAGCATCAGTAACTGTTGTTCCCTATTCCAGGCTGCAATAAGAGCTCTCAGGAGTCCCAGAGTCTCTTATCAAACCTCCAGGCTTGACAGAGCACGTTGAAATTTGCAGAGCAAAGGCTGTGCTTTCAACACAGGAGGCTCTCTGAGCACTGGAAATTTTGCTTCTAAAACATTTAGTTTGCTCTGAAAGTCCCTTCCCAAAGCATATCCATCTGTAACAAGCTGATGTCCATAAAGAGAGCCAAGGTTTGGGCTTTCTACTTTTCCTTGTCTTAAGGTGATACATACAGGCAGCATTTAGATCAATGCAGGGTGAGCTGGGTCCTGTAGTCAGAGCTCTGCTAGAATCAAAGATGTGACACACTCCTGCATATTCCTTTGCTTCATCCTGCTCCTATAAAGGCCAGATCCATCCCCTCGTGGCTCTCTGCCCTGCAGTCACATGTGCCTTCTCCCATTACCCATGTCAAATGGCACATATTTTATTCAACATGCCCACAAATGTATCATCAGAAACATTGCTCTGAGCTTTTCACAAAGGCT